CCCCTCCCACCCCACTAAGAAGTAAAAGAAGACTTTTGTGAAGAGGTCACAACAGGAAAGAAATTTGCTCCAGAAGATGAAGAGGGTACCCCATTTGTGTGATTTTTGTATCATTTCAAAAAGGAGTCTTAAAGTCAGCAACAAAATTAATTTGTTCTTATCACTGAATTACTCAAAATACCTTTGCTAAATCTTCAGGAACTACAAAAAATGGATGAACGCAGAATACAGAGAACTGGAGAATTATTAGTGGAGTATGCTAATGTAGAGGCAAAAACTTTGCCTATAATACAAACATGTCTGAATAACATGAAGGAGAATGGAAATTCAGTCAATGGACCACAGGTATTGATCGCTATCAACTCTTCCTAAAACTCCCAAAAGCGATTAACATATGACCTGTTCCTATAATATCCTTGTATTATCTAGTAAACAGGTTATGAGAACACTCAAACTTATCAGGTAGAAGTTGTTATTTTGATATAACACAAGATTTGTGGAACTAAGGTATCAGGGAATGTGTAGCAGCTAAAGGGGAGAATTATCTCTGAGATCTTAATTGAAGAATTAACAGACAATTTCAGTGCAGTCAATACAAACAGGTGTACAACTAGAAGTGCGCAATCATTTATTCAAACAGCCATGTTTAATTTGGAGTTAGAGGCAATGTTTTTTAGGGGGGAGGGGAGGGGCAAGAAAATAATAATAGTCACTCCCTCACCCTCACCCCCTCCTTATCTTTCATTGTCACTCACCCCCTTGGTACCAATTTCTTTCTCTCCCCAGCCTTTTACTTCCATTAAAATCAAAGAGACTGCCATAATTTTAGCTAAGAAAATACTGAGCGCTCGCTTGTCAAAATTACATCTGCTATGTAGGCGAGTCTACTACATGATCTAGACAGTATTTTGCTAATTTATATTACATTGTGCAATTCAGTTTGAAGGACATAGCTACTCAGTAATGTGATCTAAAAAGGACACTTTGAAAAAAGATTACCCTAACTGCTACCTGTACATGGCTCAAACCAAAAAAAAAAATTTTCTTTTTTGGAGGGTTACCCTGGCAAGAAAGTGGTGTAACCTCACCCCTAGTGTCTCCCTACAGCTTAAGTCAACTAAACTAATTAAAAAAAAAAAAAAAACAGAAAAGGGAAACAGCTTGAGGAGTTTCCCTGCCTGCATGTAAATAAAGTTTAGTGAATGATTTTTTTTACAACACCAGGACAGCAAACTCCTGTGTGATCAAAATAAAACTGACTACAAGCCACCTCAAGATATCAAGTTTGAAGAATATAGCAGCAAGCATACTCTGACCAGACAGCCTGCTGGTGAAAACAAGGGAAAAAAGGCAAAGAAAATCTTTACTGGTGGGAAAAAAAAGAAAAAGGTATGAAAGCAAGCTATTGATCAATACAACATCAATGATAATCATCATCATCATCGTCTTTATCATAATTATAACAATTATAATTCATGATATCATGCTCAACCTCACCCAATAATTACTTATCATTTTACTTTAGACTTCCTATGAAAGCTCTGATTAGTCAAGAGCATATGGTCAAAATACAGTGATGCGTGCAGTTGACATGCTAACCCAATTTCTGCAGTAGATATTGGGCTATCAAAGTATGGCTGATTTCCCAGCCCCTTTTCCATGAAGTGTTGCAGATTTTATAAAAAATATATAATAAAACAGTTATTGAATTCGGTTTTTACATGATATAATGAATTACCTCAGCCTTTGGCTTCAGTCAATAACTCAGACCACAGTTTGATAAGTCGATCCTGATATCATGCACAACCTCATCCGATAATTGCTGATTATCTAAGTCTGACATTAAGATCTTCTTTCTCTTTAGAATGTTGATAATGGATTGGATGGTAATGATCAAACACTGACACCAGGTGAAAAAACTCGCAAAAGTAAAAAGAAGCTTGAGCAGTTAGAGGCACAAGTTGCACAACTCAAGAACTCTAGGTAACTTGCCATGTATTATACTGTTATTTTTTCTAGATATTGTGATTTATAAACTATCGTTTTGGACTGAAGAGGCGGGCAGGGGGTGTAAGAAGAGTCATTTGAAGTTAGTTGTTATGGTACTCTGTTGTACCAGACTAACTGAGTGACTAAAGCGTCGTTCACATGTGCGATGCAAATGCTAGTGAGTTCACACGTCTAACGCAAACGCAAGAAAAGTGAGATACACAAGCGCAGTGAAAGTATTTGTCCAAGATGGCCGACAACGATTAAGCTTTTGCCGTAGAGTTTGCCGCTGTATGTTTTATCATTCGTTTCGTTTGGTGAGTTCTGAGGAGAAAATTTACGCTTTAACTGTTCACCGAATGGTTTGAGGGCCCTTTTATTTTTACTGCATTGATGTATTTTGGTTTATGTTGACAGTCTTTTGTATAAAATGCCATATTTTAAGCCCGCTTCTCTGGCCACATATTTCAAAGGGGGAGACTCTTTGATTTTCTTTGAATTCTGATAAACTTTTGTCGAAAAATACAGGAATTTTCATCAAGCTTTCCGCAAGTTTTTTTCGAAATGGCGCGAGGCATGGACCCCATAGAACCTGTGTTTCTCGACTTACGTTTGCATTTGTGTTTGCGTGGCCCCCGTTCAAACGTATGGGAAGCAAACGCAAATGTAAGCTCCAGAATAAAAATTTTTCCATTCCTTGCTGTGACGCTTGCGTTTGCATCTGTATTTGCGTTGGGGTAGTTCGCACTTGTAAATCCTCGCATTTGTATTTGCGTGTACGTTTGTGCTTGTATTTGCGTGTGTCCGGTGTCTTCCTCGAGAAAAAATAAAAAAGATAAAAGAACTTTGTAATTTGGTTATATCAACCAAGTTGAAATTGTAAATTGGCCACCGCAACGAATATAAAAGCTGACTTTTCGAGCGTTAGCCCTTCGTCAGAGCGAAAGACGAAGGGTTAACGCTCAAAACGTCAGCTTTTTTTTTCGTTACGGTGGCCAATTTACTATTTCAACTTAGTTGATATAACCAAATTACCTTGTTACCCCCACCGACGCAGCACCACAGTTTCTTTAGAAACTCTCAGCCTTTAAAAGAACATTGGCTTGGGTTGAATCGACCGTCTGTACCTGATGATTGTTAATTTTAGTCTTTTTCCGTTGTCTCTTTTTAGAGAAGGTATGGAGAAAATGGTTGATGTATACAGGCAAAATCCTTCACTCGGTGACCCAGCCACTATTGAGCAAAACCTCAGTGATAATGCTAGGGAGCTGGACGCTCTTAATGTTGACCTCTACAAATATCAGGTTAGAGACTACTGCTTTGTGATGATATCTGCCAGAAATGAGTTCTGCTGTAGAGACTTTGAATTAGACCCCCCATAAATTCGGACAACTTAACAAACTGAGTCCTAAACTCTGTAGAGAAGGGATCTTCACCTTCATTTGCTTTTGACTGCAAACGATCCCCCTGAATTCCTTTATACTGTTCAACTGTAAGCTGTGATTCTTAAGAGGGTGGAGAATGCCATAAATACCTCAAAAAAGGTTTCAAGAGTTTTAAATGGCTGCTAGTTTTCATACTGAAAATCTGGAAATAATCTAGTATACTTTGGTTGTTCTGTAGTATCTGAGTAACTGCACACCTACCCCACCACACCCCACCCCCCTCAACTCAACATTTTCCTCAACTTGTTATCAGTTGACTGTTGTTGGGAAGGGCTAAGTGCCCAATTGTTCAAATATCGACAGTGATCCAAACTTCTGATTAAACTTGTTAATTTACAGTGCTACCTAGCTGCTTTGGAGAACAGAGATGCCCCACCGCCTCCTGAGGTCTACTCTAAAACCAGCAGCTCCCAACCAGTGCCGGCAACAAGCAGCAGCGTACCAGACGGGGCACCACCCAATGTCCCTCCCCCTCCTGAAGCTGCGCCTGCACCTCCCCCCGCCATGTTAGTGCCACCGGTTGAAGAACCGGCTGAAGATGATGAGTTTGAAGACGAGCTTCACTGTAGAGTTATTTACGATTTCCAAGGTAACACACGCCTTTTCTCTTTCCTCTGGGTTTTACTGGGCGTCTAAACTGTCTGATTGTTGATCAAACTCCCATTTGACCGTGCACCAACCTCTCATAACAAAGCTATTGCGGCGCATGCACAAGGGTTTCGATGATTTAGACCTACCGCTGACCGTTTAGCCGGCGCTCAGGCTCCTTTTCCGGGCACAGCCGCCTATTTCACCATCGACAGCCACTGATGGAAGAAGTTATTGAAATCCCTGGCATACGTCTTTGAACAATGGGTTTCGAAAACTCAACATATGCATCTTAGCTTTATCTATTCTAATTCTTTTTTTTTAGCAACAAATGATGGCGAACTCACTGTTGTTGAAGGAGATGAGCTGGTTGTTTTGGAACAAGACACGGATAACAGTGGCTGGACGAAAGTGTTAAAAGATGATGAAGAAGGATACGTTCCATCGACTTATATTGAATATTTGTAGGAGAAACATGGATCACTTATTACAGAGTGCAATCCAATTAAAATAATTTTGAATGGTTGAAGTTTAGGAAAAGTCCGTTGGCAGTAAGAGAGTGCGTGATTATTTTCACCGCTTTCGGCCGTTAAACAGGTCTAGGAATGTGAGGAGAAAGCCAGGGGTGGGTGAGGGGTATAGTCTTTCACCCCTCCCCCCACCTTCTCTAATTTTTGCCCTCGAGTGTTTTTTTATTAAATTCAACGCTGAGAGCAAGCGACACGACTTTGTGCTCTCTTGTTTTGATTATCCAGCTGCTGAAGTTTGTTGGTTTTCTGCTCGTGCGGTTTGGCCAAAAACTTTCCCTGTACCAGAAACAACCAATCAAATACAATCAATCGCAAGGCGCTTAACTGAACAGTTGTTTATATTCGATATTTTTACTTGAATTTTTCCTTAGAAAAGTTTTTACTCCAATGTTTCCCTGGAAAGTTGGTAAAATTATTCATTGAATTGAAATCTAATGAAGATATTTGTTGAGGGTTAACTAAATCGTTATAGTCTGATGTTGGATTTACTGATGCAAATTTTACGCGAAGGATACAACAAAACCAAAAAAAATTAATGCATTTCTGTTAGCGGAAGAGTAGCATGGAGGAAGCTTAGGGTTCGCTTGACGTTGCTTAGCAATGCGAAATAAGAGGTTATTGGAGGCTCCACACGACGAGAATATTTTATTTTTGTGTCGCGTTAATTTTAGATCATTTGACAAATTTATTGGGCGTAGTAATGTAGTATAGCATTGTGTTTAATATTTCTTACAATACAAGGGTTCTCGAAATGATATATAGAAATTTCATATTATGGCCATCTTTTGTTTTTGTTAAGTTTTTTTTAAGAAATATGCATGTTGTCAGTGTTGTCTTACTAATATTGACTTCTGCTCTCACTTAACAAATGGATACTTAAAAAATATAAGAATTCAATTTTTTTTCTTTTTTCATCGAATGCACAACAAATTATGTATCGCCGATATAAAAGTACCACGACGTACTATTTCTTAGTTTGATATTTGTGTTGGTTAGATGGTTATTTGTTTATTTTTTTTTTAGCGGTGGAATACTCTATGGGTTACACCAAATTGATTTGTTAATAAAATGAGAAATAGTTCTAGTAAATGATCAAGAGCGGCCGCTTTTTTCGACTGTGAGTCAAAATATCGTAATTCAGTATAGGCGCAACTGTTAGAATTCGATAAGCTCATATTAGAAGTAAATAAAATTAACCCTGAATGTTGATCATGTTTCTTAATGTATTTCGTCTCCACTCGTGACTGTGTAAAGCCTATGTCCCTTCTGTGCAAAGTTCCGGGTCGGTCGTATCGAAGCTCGTGGATCTAACTTAGCCAGGATAGAACTTGCACTGAGGCAATTTTTTGTTGCGGTCTGCAATTTCGCCTCCCAGTTCTCCCCCAGATTCTACGAGGGTACCAACTGAACTGTTGAAAGGGGAAAAACTTCTAATCGAGTTTTTTTGAGGAAAGATTACTCTTCTATAATGCCCTTATTAAGCCGGTCATGATGTATGGTAGTATAGTTTGGACCTATTGTTCTAAGGAAGATCTCATGATAGTGTTTCGATTGCAGAAACGTGCAGCGCGTGTAATATTAGGTACAGGTATCAGATCAAGAACTGTAGAAAATTTTAAGAAACTAAATTGGATCCCATTCTATGATGAAGTCAAGATAAGAAAGTGCGTGTTAATCTATAAGGCACTGCATGGGGAATCCCCTACGTATATTGAAAGTACTTTAACTACAAATCACTCCCTGCATGGTAGAGAGACCAGGCATGGCCAGTATAACCTAATCTGTCCCAAGTATCGAAATACTACTGAGGCAGGAAGGTCTTTCCAAGTTAGTAGTATTAAGTTATGGAATAGTCTTCCAAATGAGCTTAGGAAACAACGTAGCATCTCCTCTCTTAGGAATGATTTGATGAATTATTTTATAAATTCTTATAGAGACATTGATTCTTTTGAAGCTGTATTATAATCTAGTTTTATTGTATTTATAATCTTTGAAGCGCTATTTATGCAATAGCGAAAATCAGACCTGAAAAAAATCAGGCCTGTACGGGATTCGAACCACTGACCTCTGCGATACTAGTGCAGCGCTCTACCAATTGAGCTAACAAGCCAACTGGGAGCAGGCCGTTAAGTTGATTCGTAATAAACCCGTGAAAGTGATAAATCAGATACAATGAAATATATGAAGTTCATATATTTCATATATATATGAAGTTCATATATCGCAGTAGATCTCGTACAGGCCTGATTTTTTTCAGGTCTGATTTTCGCTATTGCTTAAATAGCGCTATCTACTGCGAGGATCGTTCACCATATGTATTAGTAGTATTAAGTTGTGGAATAGTCTTCCAAATGAGCTTAGGAAACAACGTAGCATCTCCTCTTTTAGAATGATTTGATGAATTATTTTATAAATTCTTATAGAGACATTGATTCTTTTGAAGCTGTATTATAATCTAGTTTTATTATATTTATAATCTTTGAATAGTTACATTGTTCGACTAGTTAGTTCTATTTTTAATCTCTCTGGCTTGGAATGTACTACTTACTAACTTTAGTTTTGAGGGCCACTGGTTTATCAGCGGAAGCTGTTATGTGTATACCCTCTTTGAATAAAGTCGATTATTATTATTAATATTATTATTATTATTATTATAAAATGCAGAAGCCAGTTTCTTTCTCGTGCACTAGGAATGGGATGGCTGGGCCGCCTGGCCCGTTCTCGACCTCTTCTTTCTTACAGATCAGTAGATTCATTCATTGCACAAACAGAACTACGTGTCATCTTCGAGCGTTGAATATTATCAGAATTTAATAACCTTGGTACCGTAGGCGCAGGCAATAAAGTGGAATTTCAGCTTCCTTTTACGTCAAAGGTGAATTTTTTCCGGCTGAATTAATTTGCGAGGCCCACAGCCCAACCTACTTCCATATCTATGACGTTAGTAGCGAACGGTGTGGACAGAATAAAAATTACTAAAATTTACCTCAAGTTTCTCCCGAAATGTACAATGAAAAGGGAGTAGATTTTTTTTCACCAGACGTCTAAACTTGAGCCAAAACTACTTTTGCGGCTGTCAGAGCCCTGCTGCCATTGTTTAGGTATATTTTTAGGCCTGTTACTTGGAATGAAATATGTCTATGATACAGTGAAAGGAATTTCCAGAGTTTCTTTTGCTCAGGGCCCCCTTCTTTTTCCTTCGCTATCTTCCATGGCTTGTTAAACTGGGTTGACACCTAACGGGAGAGCCTAGTGTGGCCGGGCAATTTGGTAAACACACTTTTTCGGAACGCGCGTAGAAGAAAAATAGATGTCTTTAGGAGCCCATGGGCTCCTGCCGTCTTTGGATAGAAGCCAGTCAAAGTCTGCGGGGTCATTCGCATTGGCGAAAACCGGAGTGATATTCAAATGCTACGGCGTACTAACAACAAAATGGGTAGGTAACACCTTACGTATGGTGAATAAATTTCCTTTTAATAATTAGGCCGGTTATAGAGCCAGAGAAACTCGGAGGGTCGAAGAGATGCACCTATGGCAGTGACACCAAACAGTACTTTGAAACCGGCTGAAAGCGGTGCATGCTCAAGTTAAGTTAACAGCGACCAATTACGGGCTTACCCCGGTACCTGTTCACATAATGATTATCTTTGCCTCTACAAATTAAAATTTATGGAATGAAACCGTTTGATAGAGTATTTCATGCGAATTCGTATTTTTATCAAATATAATTTCGATAACCCTCACAGGGCCATAAGGGGCTCAAATGCTTTCACTTATCTTCGAAAGGACTTATTCCGATAGCACCGACACGTAAAAACATTATTTTCCAATTTAAATAGTAATAGGAAACCAAAAATGATTTTCAAAACGAAACAGCAGAAATAACCATAACACAGCTCTAGACAGTTTTCATAATGGCTGCATTTTCAAGTGCAAACTGAATAAGAAGAATAAGTGGCAGAAAAAATCCCAACCATTATGGCTGGTGCTGTACTGAATAAACAGTGATTTCAAACTTGTCTGCTGTTGTTATCTTTCTCTATTTCCCCGCTTCTCTTGCAAAACTGGCATTGATAAAGTTAAGTCCGGAAAATTAATGAATTTACCAAAGACGTCGGGCGCAGGAGTTCAGCCATTTCAGAAACAAATATCTTGATCAACTTAAATCAGCACATGAACTTCTTCGCGAAATTTCCTTCGAAAAGTTCTGATTTTTCGATAGCAGTTTTGTAAACTCCATTTGTTTCATTGAATCAGTGTACGGAAAGAAGAACTGAGTTCTTTGTAATAGGAAAAGGAAACTAGCGATTCAGACCCACCCCAAGCACCAGAAGTGATTAGTTTTCTTAGTCTTTTGTCGCTGTTTCGTTTTCTTTATTTATTTGATGGTTACCAAGTTTTTCGTTTTTCTTTCTTTCATTCATTTCTGGTCAACGGATTCACGTCAACACCATTGGAGACCCTTTTTAATTCCGTCCGGCAAACCGCACCCGTTTTTTGTTTAGATTTTGCTATGTTCCCTGGTTCAATTTTTTTTAGTTGGTTTTAATTGTTTTGTGTATTATAGAAAAAAATTCCAGGGGTGTTCCGCCGGAGTATTATTGAAAAGCGTTCCAAATTTATTTTAGTGGGTGTTCCAGATTGTTACAGTGTTCCCGAAAAAACTACATTTCCATGCTCGACGTCGTTTACACCAGCACGGCTATGCTAATCCTTTGAAGCCATTTTTCACCACCTCGGAATTTTGTCTAGGATTTACAACAAGTAATAACTCACTGGGAAAGCAGTTACACGCTTCCACACCCGAAAACGATTAGCATTGAAAAATAAGGCGCCGCTCTGCATTAGTGTCAGTGTAATTCCTTGGGAAAGCTTACAAGTCTTTCTCCTTGAAACTTAAACTCAACAGCGCATAACCGCAATAATAGTAACCTTTTTTATCACTTGGGGCTTTTCTTTGATTATTAGACCCCCTGTGGTTGACAATTTACTCTCTGTGGCCCCTGCCCAAAGTGACTTTAGCACCTAACCGACAAGGAATATTGTTGATTTTTAGGTCTCCCTATCATGTGCTTCGGCTTCTGAAGCTATTCAAAAGGGATTTGTTAAGAGATGATCACACAAATTACCTAATTAAGTGAACTTTGGGACCTGAAAAGGTCCGAAATTTTTGAAAATGACGCCCTTAGGGCAAACCGACAAACAGTAACCGTTGTGATGTTGTTTGCAGCTTGCGTCGATGAAAATCGAAATGCGTTCGTTTCCATACGCAAAAACCCGAACAATGTCGACAAAATTTCCGTATGTGGCAATTCTTACGAATGATGACATCTCTAGAATTTTCGACACGTCGTATTCAAGTGGGCAGACATTGGCATTGACAAAGCCGTATTGTATTTCACAAATCACAAATGAGTGACAAAGTCGTGTTGTGTTGAGCCAATCGCCATTGTTCTATTATTAACTACGTAAACCCCTGTTATGTGATCAATCGTGCGTTTCAATGAAGCCTGCTTATTACAAAGAGCAGAGAAAGATTATGTCGAATATTTCAGGTAAGAATTGCTCTTGAGCTTTTGATCATTCAAGATGAGAAAACTTCGGGGCCTCGTACTCAGATTTTCTGCTCTTTTGTGACCTATTACAAGGTTAATAATTCGTGACACAGTAGCGGAATTGTTGTTCTAAATGCAACACCATACTTCGAGAATGAAGTGTTTTCGATCGTTCCTCGAGTTCATCTACAAGCTTTTCATACCTGCTTTAATCTTTTCTAAATGTACATTATCATCTGTCAACAATTCGAACACGCTAGAATCTTAATGTTCGTGAGCACATGTGGAAGTTTAATGTAGAACTCAGCGATATAGCTTGATCGATTTGCTATCTCCTGTGTGACTTATATGCATCAGAGGGTGATTGCCAATACTTGAAAAGCCTTGTTTTTCTGATGAAAAATTTGAATGTGCCAAATCTTGTATCAAATTAGAGAAGACATCTTCTTATTCACTGTTTCATTTACTTCTTCACTCCTCGTAGAAGACGCGGCTATGAGTACACAATCGTCTTTATTTCGTTTACTCTGCCGGTCGCTTGTGTACTTAGCTTCCATAGTCTTTGTTTAAATTGATTTCATTTCGTATTCTGTATGCGTTCATTGTGTTCGAGGTATCAACCAATGTACATAATTTAGTGGTTAAACAACTTATAATTGTATATCTGAAGAAATTTTAGAAACCTGATTTTGGCTTTATGACAGGAAAGCTAATGGTGCTAAGACAATTATGTGTAGGTTATAAATAATGTTGAATAGACGTTGGAGTACTTCATTAGCTGAATTTAGATGCAAATTGCGCACTGAACATCAATAATTGTCCCTCCTCCAGTCGAACTCTTTTATAAATAGCGCCGCAGATTCCGCTTGTGACACACCATTGAATAGGGGTTACCGAGTGTAAAAAAGAAACATTGCCCAGTAAACTGGCAACTTTTTTGCTGATGTCTGCGGCTTAGCACTCGATTCCAGCTGATTGACTGGCCTTGATGAGAGTAAAATTCTCCGCATGTTAAGAGCTAATGGCTGGTAATACGATCTAAGGGCAGGGCAAAATCTGTAGCTTTTTTCAATTGCAATCGTTTAGTTGAGAGATCTTAGACTCTCGGCTTTCTTGGAATACATTTCCAATAAACCATGTATTTTAACTCGAAAATCAACTCGAAAACGTCACTTCCGGTGGGATAAAGTGTATGATAAAAAATCGTGGCATTCATATTGATTTGCTTGTAGAGATTGTCTAGACGCAGATGTTTGTACACGTTTTCTGATTTATCCTCGGGGCAAGTTCTTCAAATTTCGGTGGATTTCGATACTTCCGAGTGGGAACCCTCATTGCTGACTCATTAACAAACTTGTGCGAGAACACTGGTAATTGAAGAGGAGATACCCAAATTATTAGAAAAACGTCAACATTTTTTTATCGTAAAATAATCTTACTTTGGTTGGTATTGGACTTCAGAAAATGTGAGTCGCTACTTTACCTGCTGAGAGTATAATGACCACTAAATCATTGTTAAGAAAAGAATAACTGTGTCACGTTCATTCCGTGTTGGATTAGCGATCCATGACTTTTGTAGATGATTCGGAAGGGTGTGAAATGCCCTTTATGTTCATACATTGCGATGGTGATTAATTATTTTCTGGTCATCAGCTTCTTTAACACCATTTACATCGTTTTACTTCGCTCTCGGTTATGCCACTTTCCGCGAAAGCCATTGCAGTGTAAGTTAGTACGTCGAAGGTTTCACTTCTTGAGAAGGTTCCGACCAGCGCTTTTAAATTGTTTGTAAAACGGAAAACCAAAGGAATCAGCCAGAATATTTACCGCGAGTATCTACGTCAGGTAAGTAATTATCGGTCAACCGCGGACAAGTATTCGATATATTTTCTAGTATGATTCATGTTCTACTATATTCGCCTGGCACGTGCTAAGTGTTTCGTCCTTGTTGAAGGGACCGGCCTCAGCGAGTGCTGGCTGTACTGAGGTACGTAGCGTCGTCTTTGATCGTCTGCAGGCGGAGCTTTTCATAATTTAATATTCATGTATCAGTAAAATCGCCTTACTCACAGGGATTTTTCTTGTCTAGTTTGAATATCGATAACGTTAACTTAATTTTTTGAATAGGATGCTATTTTTTTTTCTTTTGCCAAAGAGCTACAAATGACAATGGCGAGGATTAGAAACTTCCGTTTAGAACAAAGCTGTCTCCTTAGGAGGGAAAAGAATTGGTAGCAGATATACAGAAGTTGAATTGCTTAAACTTTCACCTTTCAGATCCGATCTCGAAATGTTCTGACAGCAATTTGAAAACTAGTTTAATTGATAGAGGGGGAAAAGTGTGTGTGAAGTGAAGACAGAAGTAATCCTGCCAGAAGAGAAAGCAAAGAATTTAATACTCGTATGCCTTTTTTTTCCCGGCAATGTATTGATTACTCTATCGAGTCATTTGGTTATAAATTTTGAGTATAATTGGCTTAATAATCCTTTCTGATGCGAAGCAGAAGGTACTAGTGTTCTGTTCAATGTGCACACACGCGATGTTCAAGAGCTCCTCTAGTAACCATAGCAATTATCGATCACTTTAGGTCAGATTTAAAACAAATCAGGAGTAAAGACAAAGAGCAAATGGGAGAGTCGATGCCTGAGGAAGACGATGTTGTTTGGTCTGTTTTGCGCCATATTTTACTGTTTCTTTGAAAGCGGCATCAATCGACCTCTTTCGACCGTATTATGGCAGCTAATCGGTACGATTACAATGGCGCCTGTTTAACTAACTTAGGCGCTCACAGCACGTATTTACAACAAAAATTATCTGTGAATGTTTGGTTAAATTTTTCCTCGCTTGAAATTTTCTCTTAGATTCCTGATCCTTGGTTAAGAATAGCGAAGGAAACCAAGAAGTTAGCTATGTCGTCCTCGTCGTCACAGACAGCCTTCCGAAGTCGGAGCAAGACTCTGCCAATGCCTTCCAGAGTTAAGATCGAGAAAAAGATTGTACAAGAGCCCAAAACAAGGTCGCCACTTCCCTTCAGAAGGTTAGTTAGGTTATCACTATTGTTGTTGTGTGATCTGTAAATACGTTCCATGTTGTCGTATCTCTTAAATTTGCGTGTTCTGCATCAATTTTTTTTTCTTTGTTTAATAAAGATGCACGCTGTTCAGTTGCATTGTTTTCTACTCATTTTACAGACACAACTGAAACACTAAGAGGTTTTGTGTATATTAGGTTAGCGGCAAATCAGTTACTGAATTTTGTAATGGATACTAAACAAACGGAGAAACAGGGTCTTAAAATAATTGAGAAGAATTTGCTACCTTTCTATAACATCAAGAAATGGTTCGATATTCTAGTCTTCTCGGATAGGGACGAATAAATGGAGGTCCCGTCTCCTGCAGGGTTGGGGTAGGAGACGTTAATTTCCCACACATGAGAACACTGTGTGATGGATGTCCTCCTCTGGGGCGGGTTGGGTGAGTTTATTAGAGGGCCATGTGTTAGAAAACTCTTTACTGGGTTAGTCATCTTTCTACCCTCTCGAAATAAAGAACATTGTATTTTATTATATTGTATTGTACGATAGTTTGCAGATAAGCAGTGTGAGTTTGATAAACGTCTGGGTCTTATTTGAAAACAGCGTTTGGTTCGAAATATTTATTTTATTTCCTTTCTACAACGTTCCTCGTTCCTTCCTTCTAAAATAAACAGATTACCTTGAATAAAATTTGTCGCCTACGTCTCTGAAGTTTTAAGGTAGAGGTCATAGCTTTTTAAATTTCCGTGACTTTTTAATCTTGTTTAACACAAATCTTATTTATTTTGGGGACTAAAAGCCACACCATCAATAATTTCTTGATAAAAAGTTTGCTTTCATTTCTTCACTTGTCACGCCTTTGTCAGCCTTGCGTGACAATTTAACTGCACTGCACTTTTTCAACTCCGAGATGTATAGGAATGTAATGAGTTTGGTCTTTCGTTTTGCAGATTAGCAGACCTCTTGAAAAGGAAAAAAAAGCGAAGTAAAGGAACTTCTGATTCTTTCAATGTGCCCTTAGAAAGGCAAACCTGGTTTCATGGAAAGATCACAGCAGATTTTGCAGAGCGTTACTTACGGCGTGACGGAAACTTCTTGGTGCGCGAAGACCCAGCAAAACCGGGCAGCTGTTTTATCGTGGTGCGCCACAAACGGTCAGCGGTTCACATACCACTTGTGAAAGTAAACTCGTCTAAAGGAACAAGGATTAAGTATAGGACAGAAGAATCTGAGAGCAGTTTCGATTCCATATGCGAGTTAATCAACTATTATGTAACGGAAAAGAAACCGTTAACCCCGAACACTTCAGCAATAATCACGCATGCTGTCAGCCGCGATGCAACACTTTTGTCGTCGGACGATTTAAAAAGTTTTAACTCCAATCACCACAAAAGGTATGTAACAAACACTGTTCCTGCTAATGCCTGTCCGCCTAACCCGCCTGGGACTGGTCCCTTGCGACAGAGACGAATCGAAAAACCAGCTCGCAAGAACAGTGATCCCGGATTACATCTTGAGGTTTATCAAAATGGCGACAAAATGCGACAGTTTACGATGGATTCTCGGGTGAAAAGAAATGTTCCTTCCTCCCCGGATAAATTATCATGGACAGTTCAGCCGAAACAACGGGAGAAAATTCCCGAGGCTTTCCTCGTTAAGGCCGAGAAAGAGGACGATTTTCCATTTTATGAGACACCGTAAGGAGAGAAGAAAGAAGATGATCCGAAGGAAACTTTACAAACGTCGGAACCATTTTATGAGGATCCAGATAAAAAGGAAAGTTTGGAAAATTACTATGATAAACCTGGGGAAAATGAAAAGTCATCAACGTCAGTTGATGCCTCGGGGAAAGCAGAACATTATGATGAAAAAAATGAGAAGGAAAAAGATGATGGCTACTACGACAAACCTGCCAATGGGAACGAAGACCAAGATTTTTATGATAAACCGTCCCCCATAGAAAGCGCCAAAGAATACTACGACAAACCACCCAAGCAATGCAGCCAAGCAAGCCTGCCGAACATTCCCAGAGAACAAAGTCAGGAAGATATTTATGATAAGCCACGACGTAGCATTGACTGCCTGTACGACACACCACGGGCCAGTCAGGATAACCTATACGACAAACCACCCCCCAAACCTAAAAGGACTGAGTCTTTCAGGAACTCAGATCCAACTGTTTCTTCGAAAATTCCTCCCAAACTCGTGTCAAGATGTAGTGCGCCAGCATTGCGGACCTATGATTCTGGCGCATCCGCCCCCAGGGGTCCTTCCTTTGAAACTCTTCCAGAGAAAAGGCATTCAGGGGCTGAGTTTTTCTTGAGGAAAGCCACATCGAAGAATTCATCTTCAGGTGGAGTTAACTTAGAGCCTAAATCCTACTACTCTACACCTCCATCAAGGCAAACAGAAAGTCCTATGTCATCAAAATCTGACCTGGGTTTGCCTGAAAATCTAGACATATATGACGTACCAACTGAATCTGGCGCTACAGAACAAGTACTGACACCTTCAAAGGCAACCGATTGCGAGAAAGAGAACCACACGAGTCCAAATGTTGAAGACAGCAGACCTAAGCGATCAGGTTCTGTGGACAAAAAGGGAATCTTTTTAAACGTGATGAAAAAGATTGGAGAGAACTTGCTTTCACCATTCCTAGAGATTGACTGCTTTGCCCTTGCAAGGCACATGACTCGTGTGGATCTGATACAACTATGGGGCGAGGAGCCGCAACGTCAGTCTTGGAGCATTGAGGATGGTACAGGAGGAGCGAAAGGTCTGGAGATTCTTACGCTTCCTCAAGGAAGAGACCAAAGGGCACAGTTACTTTCAAGGTTAGCATCTGTTAGATTAAAAAATCAGAATTTTTTAAATCAGTCTTGCTTAAGTTCTCCTAGTCTATCGAAAGAATGTCTTCCTCTCTGGGAACGGAAACGTGATGTGCATTGAGTAAGGGAAAGCCCTTGTCGCGAATTAACCAAGGGAACACCTTTGTCGCTGAACGGACACTCTCTGACTCTCACGTACCGTTGCTCATATCGTTATGTAGTCATCAAAACCACATCCCACAAGTCTACCAAGCCTGGATCTCTATCTTTTGCATCTCTATATATTTCTATGTCGCATTAGGAGCAACAACAGAAGGACCGAAACAGCTTTACTAGTTAACATGTCGACTTACTCTTCTCTTCTCGCCAATTTGTTTATCCTTCGTCTTTGCATGTTTTGAGCGATGTAACTCCATTTATCAAGAGGCATAAAATTAAACCTATTTGGCAAAAGAAAGAAACCCTCACCGCCTTGGTTGTCATATTTTCGTAACTTTTCAAGGAGGAAAGAACAATTAAGTCCGACGAAGTGTTTCCTTTTTAACCATAGACCATTGGTTAATCATCTCGCCTTTCCTGTTTCTTTTAGATTTTCTAATGTGAGACACTGGGTAGCGACATTGGTCGTGGCAGCGGGTGACCTGGGCACTAGAGGCAAAGTACTCAAAAAGCTGATTGAATTGGCTGATGTACTGAGCGATAAACTTGGTAATCTGGTGTCATTTATGGCTGTCATGGAAGGACTCTCTTTACCTCAGGTACTTTTTTGACCTGATTCACCTTTTTGTCTACAGATTGGAGCGTGAGCGACAGTAACAATACAGCAAAAGTCGACATTGGTTGGAAAAAATTCACAACAGCTTTCATCGCATTTAGTGTGTGTTCAAAGAGTGTTCAAACATAAGAAAAAAGCAGACTGAAAGAAAGGACCTTTGATTTTTTTTTTTTTTTTAAGATTCATTGTCGTCTTGTATTGCTACAGATTTTCGTTTCTTGCTAGATTCCTGTCGAATTACCTCAAATGAAAGAAAAAGTGGCTTAATTTACATCTTTGGTAAAAATTATTTGATTCGGCTTTCTCTCTTTCCCTTCTTGCATGCTTAAATGATAAAGTTGCATGGTCAGTTTGCCGCTGCGGTTTTGAGCACTTAAATTGATGGATGCGTGCGTAAGAGTGCTAATGCACCTGTGTGCTTTCTTGAATCTGTAAATCCCTTAATCGTGGTTTCTCTGTAGGTAACGCGACTTCACCACGCGTGGTCATGCCTCCATCACCAGTGCAGCTCAACTGCGATTCTCTACCATAGCACTCTCAAGCCATTGGCAGGGCTCTTGAGCTCGGGGGCTCCAAGCCCTTTTCCCGGAGTGAGCCTTCCTTATATCATACCCTTGGTCCGGTACCTGGAAATGACCCCGGAAGAAATTCTCAGTGACTGGGCACACGCTGAGGTAGACCTTGGGTTAGAGACAGTTTCGGCACATTTGGACTCTGGGCGCATTCTGACCCAACAGCTTGAGGAGTTCCGTGTAGAAGCAATTACTCACCTACGCAAAGATGACTTTCTGTTCGATCCTAAACTCATAAATTATTTCCAAGAGAAAGTCAACGTTGGAAATGTGTTAGGACTGGGTCCTGATCCCACTAATCGGACAAATAAATTAAGGACTTTGCTACAGTGGCTTTCGGAAAACGCGGAACATCCCACTAGTGCAGAGACCTCTGGGGTGTAGAGAAGGGAATTTTATACTCGTTCCGAAATCTGCTGATGATAGTTTATGGTTGATGGGATGCCATTTCATTTGTTTCTGTCAGGTCGCTATGAGATTATGGTGGTTGATCTTTCAATCAAACAGCCCTTCTACATTGTAATTTTGTATACTCTGGACTCTGTTTTGATTTTGTATTTCAAAACTTGGTGTTTAATCTTTTTATGGCCAATAAGGTGTTTTCGTTGACGTGGTAAAGTTTACATGAACAATCCTTTATCTTACACTTTTTTTTTACTTAAAAAAAAATTGATAAGAAGATATGAAAGTGTCTTTTATATTGTAAATAATTCACCCGAATTGGACCTTGAACTGTGAGTTTTAATTTCTACAGTTCGAGAACGTTTCGATATATACATGACTAACGTAATTTTTTGGTTCAGTTAGGTGCCACACACTGCTGTTAATCCATATTTGCACAGTTATGCCGTAAAAGAATCACTGCTTATCGATCTTAGAAAATATTAAACTGAAGCCTAGAGTTGAACTCAGTGCAAATTTCCCAAACATGATAAAGGGTTCATTTCAAGTTTTTGTTTGAATTTTTTCCCTTTTAGATAAACGAATCTTAGTTCAATGCTAAAGTTTCAGCTTGTCTGGAACTCGACTTGGAAATGTAATGAAATCAGTTGATGCCGGGAACATAAAATGTTGTACACAATTTGTGTGAACCTACTTGTAAATATCAAAAGTTGTTGGAAAGAAGCAGAAAGTAAATCAAAGAGCATTGTTAGTGACTACTGGCTTTAGTTTGAATTGAAATGATGCATTATACAGCACTCCAGGTCTTTCAACTTTGCCCTTTCATTCCACTCTCCTATGAAAATTCAGCGCTATTTTAAGCCGGTAGTTGAAAACCCCACTGTGTGGTGACTGATAATCCACTAAAACCTACAGATTTGCTTCCCAATGTTGATTTGTTTGTTAAGCTGTTGCAACCGGTTCCGATTTGTACTTTTAATCGATATCGTAGTGCGTGACCTTTTATATCAAAACTATTGAGCTGTGCAGTTGCATATCATGCGGTGCCGTTTAATAGGCCCTTCATGACATGGATTAGGGTTACCCGACACTGGACACAAACTTAGCGTGCGATCATTGATGTGACATTAAAACGTGATAGGAAACCATGGTCATGTAGAGCACTATTTGTTTTCTTGAACAAGCGGTGGCTCGAACTTTGAAGTTTTGTGCCAAAAAAAAAAACCAAGTGTTCGTTTGTGTGACCATTCAAATGAATGCTATTGAGTAAGTAGTGCCTTAGTAAGAATTCACCGCCCAGTTAAAAAGCTTTGTACTGTATGAAATCCCTTCCCAAGGATCTCATTTGAAGATTAGATCTGTTCAGTAGTACTTTCCTCATTTACTTTGATCCTTTTAAATGAATTTTATCACCTTGGAATTAAAACATTCGGTGATTTTAGTATTTCGCCATGCAAGAGGATAATGGGAGAAATTTTTAATTTAGTTTTATTGAAATTGGTGTGTGAGGCTTTTCTTTAACAATTGCACCTGCTGAAAGTCTCAGCCAACCTTTGTTCTTTATACCTAAAGTACGTTTTAGGGTGATTAATTTCAGGAAAATGAAATTGTCTTGTATAGAGCAGGATTACTCGGTAGCTAAAGGTGAATTCCCCATTAAAAACATTAAATTATTTGCTGCAACATAGTCAAAATTCAGTTTGGGACAGTAGAGAGTTTATCACGTGAATTCAATTGTTTTTTCGTTTCTGCTTAGAATTTATAGTTAACCGCCCTTTGCGGTCCCGGTAGGTCAGAGAAAGGTTAGAAAAGAGAGATGTTTCATCCATCCAAATCGCCGAATATTGAGTAAAGGGAACCTCGGAAGTTATTTCTGACCGAAATGGTTGCCTCCCAGAGAGCCTTACACTTCTCTCCAGAATTCTTCTTTGGTAAACCAACGACCTCGCGCTCTTCAAGGTCTTTTATATCATTGTAGGCGGTATTGTCCCTGATTCGGCAAAATGGGCGGCAAGGAGAAAAAAGAACTTGTCTTATTCTTATTAGAGATGAATAAATCACTGTTAATTATTTTCATTGGTTTTTTCCTGAGGAAACGGAGTTAAAAGTTCTCTTAGATGAAGGAAGTTTGCCGATCAAGATATGAAGCAATGCTTTTCTGCATCCCATTCGTTTTGAAAAATATCGGTTTTCAACAACTTCCCTACAAGTTTTGGTATATTCTTCGCTTGAGGAAAAATCATGCTCACGAATATAGGTCGTCTTTGTCTTTTTTTAATAAACAGATTACAAGAGTTAAAGGGCATTTTTGGTGACTCTTGTGAGATTTTTTTCTTTCTTCATTTGCTTTCGTGAACCGGGCTCGGTTAACAGTATATCTTCTAACAGTTGATGCAGCTTTCAGAGAATGGTGCAGACATTTTCTCATAAGACTTCGACCATAGCCTGTAAAATGCACTTTACGAACTTTATACACATGAGCTCGTATTGCTGGAAAATCACTGTCCTAGCTGGATGGGGTAAAATCATTTCAGTAATCATCGAGTTGAAGGATAAACTTTCCCTTGTTGTTTCAAAACCAGTTGTAACTTAAGCCGCATCAAATGATAGTACTTTTAATAGACTGTCGACACAGGTACATCTTATTAGTTTTGACAAGTCTTAGAGATCGATCTTTGGATGCAGGTTTGAAACTTCATACCCGCAATTAAGCTTGTCATTAGACACCGTATAGTTGAATTGTCACTCTATCTTTCAAAAGCAGAAGCCGTGGCACGTGCTTCATGGCCGCATCTTTTAAACTGGCCAACTCCATGGTTCAAGGTTACACTGAGTGAAGAAATCACCATGGGTCTCTTCACATTTAGCATTTGAACAGCTCTCAGTCTTTCAATGCTCTCGACATTTGTCATTTTACTTGATTTGATCCTCATAATCGATCCGGAACTGCCTAGAACTCGATTAACCTTCTTTTATTTCAAAGTTTCTCATCTTTTACACCTGTTGTTGTTGAGATCAGTACCGTGGAGTATCATGAAATCTTACCCACAATTCTATGGCAGAATACTCCGAAAAAAAAAATCAAACACAGGTCACCTTTTGGCATTTCGCGCTCTTTATGCGAAACAACCATTAAAAAGTTCGCAGGGAAAAGGTCACGGTGCATGATATTAACAAATAGAGAAGCTGATGGGCAAGGTGCCTTACAAAATTTGCACACTTTCCCCCTACCAGTTGGCACACGCCAAAAGAGTGGCATTACTTTCAATCTAAATTAAGTTGTTTGACGTAATACTAAGCAAACTGCGCTCGGATAATTATCCCAAAAGGTCCATAAATATCGCCGTAAATATTTGAATATTTACACTCATTTGTGCGAAAATTAGACATGAAAACCGTTTCCCGTTTCAACTCAGGTGTTGAAAAGCAAATTGGAGAGTAAGTCGACATTTAAACAAAACCGCTCTATTTTGGTTACATTTAAAATTCGGCCAAATCCGTGTAACTATCCTGGGACACAGGTAAGCACACTCTACCTGCGGCAAGCTTCTTTTCTTTTTCTTCTGCAGTGCTTTGTTTTACATGTTAACTACTTAATAAACTACGACAGTGATGAATGGGGTTGGTAATTGAAAGAAAAGATGCGTGTTCACCTTACAACTGTATGTATTTTACGGCTCTTTGTTGACATTTATCGATAACCAGTTTTGTGTTTTCACGTGCGCGTTCTGAAGATGTTATCTAAAGCAATTAGTTAGTACGGGTTTGATGATCACGACAAAGTTAAGGAAGTAAATCTTTCATTCACCTTACAGTGTACGAACGCTGTATATTGTTAAAAGATAATAATAGAACTGTCTGGCAGCCCAACATGATTAACTCAGCCAAAGCGGTTTATCTGAATAGTTTTCAATAGGAATACTATAATCATATATAGTGTCCATTATTCATACTCCAATTAGCTGCATTTAGTGTTCATCGTTACAGAGATTTCCACAGAATTGTTTTTTCCCGCTTTTGAAGCCTCGTTCTCTTCGTTTGATTCCCGTAGACATAAACTCCGAAGGCGCGAAATATATCAGCCTCCACATGTCAAACTCTGGAAGATTATTTACCGAGTATTTTCCCTTTTAACGTAGAAAGTCATGAGGTAGTATTTAATTCAAAAGAGTTATAACGATTAAATTTCAATTTGTAAGAATTTCAAAGGATGAAAGCTTGGTAAAAAAAAGTTTTTACTTCAAATAGCGTTCAAATTGATTGGGTGTACCTTGCTTACTTGTAAGTTGCCCTTCTCTGTGAAGCAATCTACACGTCCAAAACGTAACATTATAACAAGACAAGTCAATTGTTGACAAAAGGTGGTGTCGTTTTATGAACAAATCGCTAATTTCGCAATCGCAGATCTTATCGTATAGTCATACTCGGCTAGGCACCTGAACTTTCCATTCGTACGCACGGGGGTGTTCTACAAGTTTGTGAAGTGCCTTAAAATAGCAAGTCGTAGCTTGAGGCGACGTGGCCATTCTTAACAAATCAATTTCGAGCTGATTACAAGTTATTATGCAATTTATAGTCACTTAAAATAGAAGGGAAAAAATCTTCCTGATCGGCACAGTAATTAAACAAAGGTTAGGCAGAAACAAGATAGCAATTCAGATGTCAGCATTTCACGGAGACATCCCACTTGGCAAGTTCCTCCCCAGGAACTAGTTCTAAGTTTTAACAAAATCTACTCTATCGCATTTCTGGCTAAAAGAATTCTGTTATATATTTACTCCTGCTGGATCCCCTGCCGAACAAAATAACAAAAGCTTTTGTGTAAGAGATCTTACAGTGACTTTAATAAAAATGCTGTGTTTATCGCGAACAAAAACCCAAAAACATAGAGCAAACAAAAGCTTAGATAATTAAGAAAACTCTGCGAAATCTGTGTTCGTAAAATCTCAAATACTCGTCAAGGTTTCTCCTATAATTAGGCAAAAAGTCAAATATTTTGCCGCTGTTTGCCAAATGATCACAGCTCCTTGACAAAAGCGATAAATTTTAGTTTTTCTTTTGTAGCAGCATTTCATAATTTACCAAGAATCGAACACATTTATTTAGTAACGTAATGTAAATATTCGACTCAATTAAATCCCTTTGTTTCAAATAAAACCATGTAATTCCGCGACGAGCACTTTTTTCTTAAACACCGTTTAAAAAAAGAGTATTGAGGTGGTTAAAGAACAAGTGGCAAGGGTAGATATGAATTTAAACATATTAAAAGTCGATTTATTTTTTTTGCATAAACAATATCACGGTCGATGAATGTTTCAAAACTCACTTCCCGGCGTAAACAGTAACGCAATATAAATCGAAATTAGAAAAAACTCTTTGAAAAACACTTCTCGATACCAGGGAATGGAGCCTTAATCTTCAACATAAAACTTATAGTGAGCAAACTAGAACAGGATAAAATTAGTAATTGCGATCTTTGCTTTTATTGCGCGGTTGAAAAAAAAACATACTGTTTCTTGAAATAGATTTTTAACATTAGGCCCCTAAAAAATCGGATTGTTTAGTTTAGTGGTGGAAGCGTACGAGTAGCAATAAATCAAACAATTTACGACTATTAATAAGCCTAAAATATCATGTCGAAAATGTATTATTGTGAACAAAAACATTCGAACCGAGATGGTTCAATTTTAACATCTTTGCACTCGCATGAAATAAACATCGTTAACAACTTTTACCAATCAAAGCGCAGGTTGTTAACCTACAAGAAACCCTAATGGTCTATTGGCCCGCTCAGCTTGAATACTCACTGTCATTAACAACAGAAGCTATTCGAACTTGTAAATTATTTATCAAAGTTTCCATTGATTGGCTTCCAATTGGTTTAGTATTGTCTCAGAATAATTCTTCGATGACCCGGCTTGCTTCAGCCGGGTGGTAATGAAGAAAGGAAGAGAAAGTTCCCTACGAATGATTATGCGCATCTGATTCAAACAAAATTACGCATAACCTGAAAAAACATATCTCCTTCCTAAAAATGTTAAAGGCCTTTTTAAAACTAAACACTCTCGATTCCCGTCTGGTGTGATTCTAGTTAAGCTAAATATAAAAAAATGTCTTTACTAACAAATTGATATTTATGGGGGGGGGGGGGGTAAACATTTTAATTTCCAACTTCTAAGGTTTAAACCGAGCTTAATCAATTTTTTATAGGACTAATGCTAATCCTTTATCATGTTAGATCAATTCCTTGCATGTGCAGAACTTGAGAGCAAACATATAGCGATCGAATAAAAGGTAACAGATATGAAAAAAATTCGCGAAAATCTACTCCGAAGCACTGCCTGAGGATTGAAAAAGAAAAACTACGCTCTGAAAGACGCACTGACTAAAATACCATCTGCTTATTATCGTTAACTGACTTTCTTCGCAGAAGAAAAAGTCTTTTAAACAGCGCTTGTTATCGAGTCACGTTTAGCTTTTCTCCTGATTGGCGGATCCGTTGAAGGAGGTTTTCCACAAGGACACCTGAGATGTTGTAAAATGCAATTCTACGTAAAATTTTTAATGCATCATTTTCATGTCTTATGCTGAAAATGGGTCGGTTTTTTCTTTACAATGATATTAGCAATTTTTAATGGCATTTTTACCTCAATGTTTTTATCTTTTAACAAACTTAAATTCTTTGGCGCCACAACATAAATATCTCTATTGACATCTTTATTTACATTTTAACATTATGACCAACGATATTTGAAAATGAACTGCCATGCAATTTCATTTTTCGCAGCTCACATCTATTAACGGTTTTAATGATCTCGAGGACAAAGTAAGACCATTAAATGAAATGATGCTCTTTTTAATTTTGCAAATTATTATGTCCATTAGCGGGAAGCTAAAATTGTTCTGAACCATGACAGTCCGTTTTTATTGATAATGTTTACCGAGCCATCCCAATTTAGCTGTGAGCCATAGCTAAGAATACCAAATCAAATTGGGCGCACGATTCCGAAAAACATTCATACTGATTAATTAAAAATGTGGAATCCTACTCGTTCGTTGAAGGAGACATCGAACCACATCCTCGCTTAGTATATTTCGCATTCCTTACAGCGTTGTCAGTTTCCGCGCTCGCTCGCAAAAATGTTACAAATGCCTGTTCAACGCCAAACGGCGGCCTGTTTTACATGAAGTGCTCCAAACACTGTTAAGATATCTTATAACCGGTCGTTTTTTCATTACTAAAATTGTCTTATTATTCACAGAACATTAGTATTGATAGTGATGGCCTTTATGTTAGGCGTGTACAAATAAACCTCGAAGAGAATTTCTTAGACACGCGTATGGCAGGTGTCTAAAGGTCTAACTTTGGGATTAGTAATAAAATTTACCATTGTATGCATTCAAACAGGGCTTATATTAATTTTCAATTTTCTCCGCGAACGCTGTGGCTATGATGTTGAATTCATGCATCATTGCAGCTGCTCCACAGCTAAAAACAATTAGCGCCAAGGCCCTAATCAGCTCGTGTAGCTAATAAGTTTCAAAGAGAGTGAGTCGTAAGGATCAGAATTGCACGGACCTCAGTCTTCGCACACGTACCCCTAACTATAGCGGTCAGTCATTGAAGCCAAGCCATGGAGCAATCTCTCGGTCTGGGAAAACCCCATAGCCAGTATGTAGTCAGCGATGTTTTAGGAATCGAGAGCCTAGCAACTTCCTCCTCTAAGTGTAAGCACAGTTTATCTGTCTTTATTTTGAAAACAACATTAACTTTAGCAAAGGAACGTCCAAAACCTATAACCTAGGCCTGTCAAAAAAGACAGGGATGAATGAGTTAACTATGTTCCAAACACTTCCCTCTCTAGTCCCCTCTTTGGTTTACAGAAGCTATCAGACTCAATCGGCAGATCTCCAAGCACCATCAGATCCTCAAGGACATGTTGATGGTGAAAGCTCTGCCACAGTAAGAAGAAAACAACGTAGAAATCGTACCACATTTACGAAACAACAGTTACAAGAGCTGGAAAAAGTTTTCGAGAAAAAGCATTACCCAGATATCGCCCTCCGAGAAGAGCTTGCTGCCAAGATTAACATCAGCGAGGCGCGAATTCAGGTCAACCGTTTTAACAATTATTACAAACACCCATCTCTATGCTTGTGCCTCCTCTTTGAATACACAGAGCTCGTCGATAGCGATTTCAAGTTGCGTGTGAGGAAAGTACTCTGAAAAAAAATCTTAATTTTGCCAAAAGAAAAATTAATGTATGAGATAAAAACGTAAACGGGTGTGGTCGTTAACGATAGCCTTGTGTAATAGTGTGCCCATAATTGTATTAGGACGCCAGGCAAGATTATATTACTAGCGAAAATTGTGTGATCGACGATATAGCTTCAAGCTTAGTGAATTTGTGCATAATTGAATTTCTTTTTTCCACCTTTAAAGTATGAAGATATTGCCAATAAGACATCACCAAGAATAAAGGCTTCGCATGTTGTTTCACCACTGTTTTTGGAACACCACTGCAAAATACCCTGCCACGCTTGCAATCCTCGATGTTTTGAGTTGCGTGGAAATTCGAGTCTTCCCTCTCTCGAGTCTTGAAAAGCTGTTTTCCTTTGGAAAAGATTTTCTGATAAATAGCACACTAAAACGGGTGAAAACTTAGTTACCATCGATTGTCCAATGCTAGGTAAAATTTATGTTCGTGTATTTTTGATCAAGGTCAGATCCCTCATGGGTATTTTGCCTTTTAACAGTCAGCATTTGATTTGGGCCGTTATGTTTGAAAAATTTTCGCCGAAAAATAAACGAATCGATCGATGTGCTGTTTAATCTTCTATAAATCCTTCTATAAAAAAATTAAACAAATTTCCTGACACACACGAAAAAAAACACTGAGTGGTGAATTAGTGGTAACCAAAAACATTAATTCTTTTACAATATCTCAATTTGAACCGTCTTTTCATGCTGTTGTCGAGACTTCCTGTTGCCGTTATTTTGCAACTTTTCCACTATTATTATATACCCACAGCTCTTCCGATATTGAGATACACAATTAAATAGCGACTTCGATCGGTCTGATCGAGAATGTTTGTCTTCAACCCTGTATAAACCTGTTCACTCACGCGGGCACTTCTCAGACTAAGTTTTCAAAACTCCATTTCTATACTTTAACTGACTGTATGACAGTTCTTCTGCCTTTTCATTTGGAGATAAAAGAGACGAGTCTTGTCGTTCGAACATATTTTAAATGCTTCTTTGTGGAAACCATTTAAGCGTTTGTCTTTTGTTGCCTAACATCAAATAAATTGGAGTTCCCTCTTATTTAAAGGAACACCGAGAAAATTTCGTTAAGATGCAGTTTGTTTTTTCTCACTTTTTAGGTTTGGTTCCAAAATAGAAGAGCTAAATGGCGAAAGAGACAAAATCCGTCACAGGGTTTTACGAAAAAAGTTCGCTATCAAAGCGAAAAACTTGGACCGCACCTGCCCATAGCTCCCCGACCAAGTATTCCCTGTGGACCACCTAACTACTTTCTTGGTTTACCGGGCGCAGTTCCTGTGAGCGCCCATCACCACACATATCCAGGAATTTTGACTTCTCTTAACGCTACAAATTCCAATTACATGTCTTCATCGCAGCTACCGATGCACAACGGTACGCTATGGCCTTGTCAAGGCGCTGCTTTCTCAAGCCATGCCGAACAACCTAAGATGGCGCTCGAAGCGTTGAGAATGAAAGCGAAGTCACATGCCTCTTCAATGTCTGCGTTTGAATTCGTACCTTCGTACCATTAGTTCACGACATAAGGTAACTCGCTGAGCGAGAAAAAAAAAAAAAAAAACAAGTGAGCGAGGTCGGTCCACTGATGTAAAGTCAACCGAGATTGTTGTTTTTGACAAACATTTGAAATAGCCAAAGATTAACTTGAAATGTCAAGATGAAGAAAAGTAGAAAAGTTCGAGAACTTTAGTGCAAATAGTAGGATTTTGATGCGAGTATTTCCTTTTAGCTAAGTCAGTGGAAATACGAACTCTTTCGGTTGAAAAGAGAATTGTAAAATTACCGAAAAACAATCAAGGAATACTAGATGAATTTACGATCATTTGTGGTATATTAGATTTTTATATTATCAAAAAATTACGAGACATTTTATCACGAAAGTTTGCACCTTGGTAGGGTATTAAGCTTTATCCAGTATAAAATAAGAACGTACTTTATTTAGATGTACTTTATGTCTATTTGCGCTATTAGTAAATTTTCTTTTGAAAGACTGTCAGTGGAACCTCATTAATGAAGCTGTGAATACTTCCAAGGCTTTTGCGCTTCGCCCCGCCTGAAACACACAAGCCCTGAGGTGCTAACACACCTAAAGCAAGTACATTTCCACTAGTGATTTCAATAACTGTATTATCCAGAAACTAAAACAACATTAACGCCCTCGTGCCACACATAAGAAGAAAAGATGAGTGTTATTCTATGAGAAAAGATTTACTTTGACTTCATAAACAGAAGAGGAACATTAAAACTTCTACAGGGACGAAACTCAGTCAATGACTTTTAGTTCCTATGTATTTTCGGTGTCATAGTAGTGAACTAAATTCATGACTCTTATCAATGTATAGTTTGCTTTTGCGCTGAATCAATAATTTATCAATGCTAAATTTATGCTATGGACATAAAGAGAATGCTCAGAAATACGTCAGTAACAAATAGCGTGCATTGTTAATAGAAATGGGAGAACGGACAAGTTTTCTGACATCTCAGACTTAAACGAAGTTTATCTGTTGTCTCATAAAACAACAAACCGACACTATTCATATTACTTTGAAATAGAATAACCACGTAACTTTTCATACTTCACCGAAATAATCCATTAGATCAAATTTTCACAATAAAGGAAATTAAACACTTTATAGTGATGCGACCGTGTTCCCCTTAAAAAGACAATAATTACAACAACGTTTACTTAACGGAGGCGCAGTGTTAGGTTCGTTCGGAAGTCCTCTCGGATATGTGCAAACTTACACAAATGTTTGATAAGTTACATAGTTATAGACAATCTCGCAACCAAGACTGAAATGATGTAAAAAGCAGGAAAAATTCAAATAAAAGCACTTACAAAAACGTTATTTATTTGTAATTTCAGCTGTAGCATAACAAGTATTTCCTTTCGCTAAATAAATACGCCGCTTTTGGCATCAATCTTTTGTGGTCCCCTTGCCCACCAGCCGATTTTCACCGCTGCAGTTCGCCGTTTTTGTTTCAAACGGAATTCTATTTTGAGAAACACATTTTCCCTTTCGACAAATACCCCATCTCAGTCTGTTCAAAATGTGACTAAGGCAGAATGCTTTAAAATGGCAACACTTCTCGAATAGTCTATTCTAATTATCCCCTTTTGTTTTTAGTTAAGTTTTGTTGATGGAGCTCTTTAAGCTAAATAGACTGAGGATTTTTTTAATTCTAAGTTCAAGAAAATCAAGATCATCTGGCCCTCCCTATCAATTCTATATGCTCTTTCAAGATATTTCTTGAAAGATTTAGTCCTCGAAGAACCGGTTAAACACCAATGCGGACCAATACATTGAAGACGAAAGAAATGTCATAAACTGGAGATAAAAAAAGTTATTCAGTCTAAACTGACACATTATTTCTTTCTATATAAATTCAGATTAGATTCAGCGAGATTTTGCAGTGCGATAATTTACTTTTCATTCTTATCAAAGGTCTTTTATTTCTAATGAAGTTCAGTGTGTGAACTATGCGAATGATTTCGTTTGGGTAAATTCGAGGATAAATTTACAAATTTGCGTTTTATCACACTGACAAGTATCTTAAACGTACTTTCTAAAGTGAGTTTTAATAGCTTGAACAGACTTTGTTTAAAAACCTTAATGACGGGACTTTTCAATGAGCTTTCTCATCATTTCAAAAGCTTTCCTAAGCTGCGTTGTTTTCTAAACAAAGTTTTGTGATAAAAATGAATGACAAATTACGCGAACGGGATAAGTTATTTACTATTGTGTTCGCGCTCATCAGTAACAGGTATTTGCATAATTGCTCGACTCACCTCTGGTTGATTATGAAGACAAAATATACTACCTCATTATCTAGGCGGCCTGTGTTTGGCGAGAAAAACTACGAACAGCGCTTGTGAAGGAAAATACAGGCCCAGGTTAATTAAACAACAACTTTCAAAAATGAGTTGGAAAGCTTCTGGAGTGTTTGTGTAGCGCGAACGCAATGCAGGTGTCGCGGTCGATGAATATATAAAAGAACATGTTTACTAACGGCTTCAGTTGATCAAAATTATATTCATCTATCGTGTGAGCTCGCTTTCTGGGTTAGTTATGCATTCTCCACTGAAATACGTTATAACATAAGCATTAATAGGATATTGTTTCGGTGAGGTTTGGTATTTTTAACGCCCTTTTATGCACAATTCTACTTGGAGAGTTCCCAGCGATATACTTTGACAAATCAAGTCGTTAGAACATACGTCATACGCTAACTTTCACCAAAACAGTCAGACACAACTTATGCTTGCCTTGATTAAACACAGCGGAAAAAAAGAAAACCTCCATTGTTTGTTGAAGTAATGGAGGAAAAAAACAAGTAGAGAGAAAAAAAAGCGTTTGCGCTCACGATAATTTGCAATTTACTCCAAGTCTAATATCATCGGATTCTAACAAAGTATATCCTAGGTAACATTAATTAAAACCTGGAATATGAAAAGGAAAGGATAGAACTACCCGTTCAGGACATTAAACAAAATTTTCATTTCTGGTGTAAGAATTTAATCTTTACAGGTACTAATGAAAGAATTCTTGCACTTTGATTCAGTTTGATCTTAGCGCACGAAATGGCTAACGCGACCGTCCTTTCAAACCCCCCGTGTCGCTTTCTTTAAGACTAATTTATTTTTAATTAGAACGGCAACGTGTAGTTTTTTTAAAACTCTAATTATGGCAAATAAGACAAGCGTCTCGCTGGCGACGTGATGGGTGTAAAATAGAAAATAAATTTTTTTTGTAGATATCTAATTGCTTTTTGTTCTTCTACGGATTTAGTTTAGAAAACTGTTTTCGTTTTCTTGTGTTTGGGTTTCCAGTCATGGTTCATTACTCTTGGATCACCTTGAACGTATTTAGCGACTACACATTTGACCAAAATTTTCTCGTGACCCTCTCAAAGTACAATTTTTCCTTTCTCCAGTTTATTTATTAAGCAGCGTAGCACGAAGTCTCTCGCTAACCTAGTTTTTTCGGTAATAGTATAAATCCGTTGCTAATGACACTGGAATGAAGTCTGACTTGGAAAGACTTGAAGACTAAATAAATAATGAAAAAAGTTGCAAAAACCCATCTCCTAACCGTGCCATGAAAATATTTTTCTCGACCCCGATACAGGTGTTTCGTTTACAGTGAGAAATGCAATTTTCAAGTGGTTTGATTATCCGGTGAATTATCACACGAGATGCTCTGCCCGCAGCCGATTCAAAAGTTATGAAAAGAGAAAACCGCGTCAATTAAATTCTAAAACACCTTCAGTTATTCATATTAGAAGAGAGTTGAGTTTAGCTGATTTTGGATTGATTTATACCTGAACAATTGTCTAGCTCGGTAGAGAGTTATAAACAACAGGGAGAACATTCAGAATTTTTTTAATGGACTAAGCGAAAAAATAATAATAATAAAAAATAAAACAACTTGTCAAAGGCATTTTTTCCTTTTCAGAGAGAGGGTTCCATTTCATAAAGTAAATTAAAAAAATGTTCTGAGCTTGACTTTGACCTTGGCTCATATTGCGGTGCTTCTTTGTTGAATAATGTCATTTTTAACAAAGTGTTTGCGGTACTTGTCTCCGTAAGTCCAAACATTAAATGTTGTTTATAGTTGATATATAACTACCGATTCGCTTGAGCACCGCGACTAGAGCAATTGGACGGGACACATCGCAGCCTTTAGCAGAATAAAACAGAGACTGAAAAATGTGGCAATATTTAGCAAAACCCTTTTTTTGTATGTCCAACCTAACTCCAAATATTAAATTGTCGGCCATTTTATCTGGATTTAACGTTTTTTTTTTTACCACTGTGGTTCTACGAAGAATTCCCAACATTTTGACAGCATTACATCGCTTTGATTGATGACTACTCGCCGACACTATTGCAGTCCTATACAGGTCTCCCTGATCGTAACCAGTACAGTGTCGCTTGAGATCTAGATTTTCGACAATTTCGTCGCTCATTTTAAGAAGGAAGCTGAAATTTTTTTTCGCAGAAATATTGATTTAGCCACAATATCGTGGTGTATACGCGTGTCAGTTATTACCACCTGGGTTTAGAAGACTCAGTTTCGCTCAGCCACTGCGAATAGTTTATGTTAAAAATTCTGGCGCTATTTGTTTAATTAAACGCTGACAAAATTTACTCCAGTTTCTTCGATTCATCACGATTCATTCAGCGTGTTTAAGGCCGTGATACATGCTAACAAAATTTTTCTAAATTCTTTTATCCAATTCCAGTGCTTATTCTAAGTTGGCGTGAAAACACGAACTTAAAAACTGGATCCTAATCTTAGATACAAACAGATTTCCAGTCATCGTCATCATCAAACGTCTCTGAAAACTAATTTCATATAAGAAACGAAATTTTTCGATCTAGTTAGAATACGAATGCGTCAACCTTTTTATGTCTTGCGCCCTGAAACAATAGCTTAAATATTGATTGCGAAAGATCTTGCCTTATTAATCATAAGTGATATAGATAATTTACATATCATATTAAAAATCTCACGTTTAGGCTCCGTCCCCTCTATCAGGTTATTAGTTTGATAAATACCGCTGTATTTTCAATGAAGTATTTCATTACCTGACAGCCATCAATAGAACCCATCAAGCTTTTCGTCATCCGTTATAGAGAAACAATATCAGAGGCGGAGTGTGGTCGTTTGGAGTTATTCAAAGACTTGTTTAATTTTAGTTTCTTTGTTGTTAAGTGATGCCTGATCTTAGGAAAGAGGATCAGGTGTCTAGAAATAGCATTTTAATCGCAGGGAGTGGACAAAGTAGTTTAAATGTTTCCCTCTTTTCCTAGACTGTATTCCTAAGCTCAGATTATGATAACAGACAAAATAAATTCTAGACGGGCCTAAATATGCCTTTCATATACCGCAAAATGCCTCGAGCGAATAAACCATAAATGAGTGATGCACTGAATAACCTTTCTGACGTGTTTTTTTTTTTTTTTTAACAAAACTACACATGATTAAACACCGACGCGATAAAACCGATAAAGAAAAAGAAAACAAAATAGGCAATGTTTTTTCCGCTTCAACTTCCCTTAGAATGAATTCCGTGACTCTTAGAGCCAGGATAGCAACGTCTCGTAGCGGTGGCGCTGGCGCCGGTAAAAAATTCCACCTGATCCGGGCTGCTTTAACATTCAGTTTGTTTTCAATGTTATCTATGTGGCAGACACTCTCCTGTGTGGCGACAAGGTAGCCACTGTTTGGTACACAGGCTGCGCTCGAGCGGTCTGAGTTTAAGTCTGGGTACGAAACTCTAGTGGTGTCAAAGGACAAAGGAAAACTTGCGCGGGGAATATGTAGTGGACCAAAGGTTAGTTTCCAATTCATTGGTAAGGGTTGCACGTTTTTCTTTTAAATCATCACCACATTAAAGAGACAAAAGAAAGAAATAGCAATTAAGCATTTAATTCGATAGAACAAGAAATATAAATTAAAAATTGATCACAAACTTAGCCATTCACATTCAAATCAACATAACAATTTACGCAACAATTAGTTTATTGAGAGTGCGATTTATAACTAACCCACTGCTTCGATTCTGTAACAAAACTCAAAGGCGAACTCGAAATATACAACTGTTGGGTGAAACCCTGAGTCACCTATCGAATGTACAAACCAACACTAACATTGAACGTATTGGATTCGATTCAACGGTCAGAAGTGAAAAACGCACCCTTAGCAAGTTTCTATCCATTCAATAGTCTACTATTAACACGTTATTTGTATATAATCATTAGTTTCTTAGCTACTGACTGAATTTCAACTTCAATTGAATAGTTGGATTAAAACGAAACACTGTAATACGAGTTTGTATTTCTACACTTGATGAAACAACAGGAACGTTACTACAACAAGAAGCGCTTAACGAGCCAATTGGCCTTTAAGATCGGCGCTTAACTCCAGCTTCCGCAGCATGAAGTGACAAAGAGTATTTCTACTTCCCCATGGATGGGATGCTAGGACATCGCAGGGGGAACCCAGCATTAAATGCCTGGATAAAGAGAGGCACTGTGAGAGTAAAGCATCTTGGCTAAGAATACAACACAATGTCGGCCTGAGTTCGAACCCGGGTAACTCGATCCAGAGTCAAGCGCACTAACCAAGAGGACACCGCGCCTCAACAAGAAGAGGAGTTCTTGGATAAATATATCAACCCAACCCAGAACTTGTTTATATGTGAGGAAAAATTAAGCAGACTTCAGAATAAATCTACTCTATCGCAACTTTTGCGATAAATTTTAAGTTAACAATTAGCGGAACGTATAAATTAAGCCACTATCCCATACTGATGGGAAATCTTAAGAGACAACTCTTAACAAAAATATACTATGCGCTATGAGAAAAAAGAAAGAAATGTACGTTAACATGGCAATAAATCTGTTTCGTGTCTCCATCATTTTTGCCGTTTATTTTCGATTGTATGTCCATTAGACATCATTTGCCAGCTGTTCCAGCGCATCTTTGATTTGGTTTGGTGTGACACGGCACAGGAAGCAATACATAATCTGCTGAAGTAACCGCAAATGATCAGAGTAGTCTAACAACACTTTATTTGCTGCATAGTAGACACATAACAACAAAATGGCAAAGAAGACGAGATGAATATTAATAAATAAACACATAGCGAAACGGTTCCATCAATGTAGATGTGGCTACTTGTTAATTGAACATTGATTGCTTTCGTCAACTCGTGAGTGAGTTAAGTTTGGTTGAAGACCGACAACACCTACAAACACACGCAAGCAGCAACATAGAAAACAATCAACATCACAACAGTTATTGGACTACTGGATGAATTATGAGACGTTTGTGAGAGGACAAAGCCCTTATGGGCCTTCTAGGACATAAACAGGGGGACTGGGAAACAGGGAAACTGTTTGCAAGCGCATTACAAAACTTGACTTACTCCCACATAAACAGGACAGGCATTGATTCTAAATCAAGATACCATTTCTATGTTTTGTTACTGTTTACACTGTATGAATCACAAACTACAACAGGATTTTTCGTGTACTGTGTCAAACAACTGACCTTATCTTCAAGAGTCCAAGCCCTTTGAAATTGAGACCCAAGCATTTCCAATGAAATACAGAAAAGCCACCTGATGAAAGAGGAAGAGAGGAAAGATGGTTAAATTGTAGGAAAACAAGTCACTGCAGCCTTACAATTCAACCCAAGGTTTTTGGTGATGGCTTGGTATCAACTGAAAGCACCACACATTTGATAATTAGGGTGAATAGGAAACAAAAAGAGTCTGACGTGTCCAGGGTGTTACAGTAGTTACCTAATCAGGGTGGTCCTTTCCCATTTTGGTAGAGTACAATGATTCCAACAATTATTGCTAATTACATACCAGTATCATCTGTACCACAAGCAGTCCGTTTCCCAGCATAACCCATCAAACGAGTCAAAAGGAATCAGCAAAAAAGGAACAAAAATTATTCAGCTAGCACAGGACTGGGCCATAGAAAGACGTGCAACTCTTCGCATGGTGTGGGGATATTTTCTTTTGTTGAATTCTACTGACGTTTTCAACAGATTACATTGGGAAAGTGGACTTCCTATTATGTTGCCATTACAGATTGATACTCCTTATCAAGGAGATGTCACAAGTCCAACACTGCAATCATAAAAATTTGTCCCATAATGTCTTCTCCTCAAAGGCTTGTTCTTTTGACAGCACTGACTAAATATTTTCCTCTCCTCTATGAGCTGGTGACAGCAGTTGCATATTAAGTGTTTTGTAACCAGTCAGATAGCTACTACTTCCTTTTCTAAAATGACTTTGCTAAACTTGCAAATAACATACTGTGAACCTAGGGAAATTTCAGTGGAAGGCTGCATTCATTAATATTCCGAGCCATCCTCATTCTGCAGTTACAGATTCCTGACATATGGTATTAATTGTGGCAATATCTTAGGCTTTTCACTTATTCTGGAAGTTAAAAAAAATACTCACCAACTGATGTCTTCAACCTGCACACCCCTCCCATGGTGCCAATTAGCTGGGGCCCTCAACACCAAGATGAGCATATTAACTGCTATGTCTGCTGTTATCCTCTCTGAGGGGTCCCTTCTGAGGAGTAGTGACACTACTTTTCTTACACCCGAATTGGCTCTGTTTGGGGAAAATAGTACCCAATAGATGAACAATTTAGGAAATCTAGCACCATTTGCAATTGTTTAGCTGCCTCTCACAGTCATGGCTGGCTAAAACAATGTTAAAACCACCAGTAGAAGGCAGCTTATGATTTGGGTGTGGCTTATTCTAGTTTTTGTAGCATGAAGCAACTCAGATAATTCTTCCACCCCCTTGATGGGATGCTATACCAATGAAGAAACCATCCAGCATTTTGTAAATTTCCCCAGACAGTTTTCTCACCCACACCACTGGGTAAAGAACAGAGACTATGGTAGTACTAAGTGTTTCATCCAAGAACACAACACAATGACCCACGCCCATTTTCAGTAAAAAAACCCCTAACCTTTATATGAGTAGCTTGCATTACCTTGGATTTAGTACAAACATAAATGTACCAGTATTATGGCTTACTGCATGACTATATAACAGTACGTTATAAATAACCTAAGTTGAAAAAAATCAACCTAGGTTAAACCAAAATTAACCTGAAATCAAATTTGATCTGTTACATATATGTTGCAAAGAGCTAGACTCTTTTTTCCACACCTTCCTTGAATGACACTACACTCAAAGAGTTTTATGCTAAAACTATTTACCATTTTAATGGAGAATACGCATTCATTTTCTCTCCATCGCACTTACTCAAAAGAATTACTATTACAAAAAAAAAGTAATAACCCTGACCCCTTCAAGACATGACATCTCAACTTTTCACTTGTTACACTATTTACCACACGAAACTGTTCTCAATGAATATCATGATAGAGGGGGCATCCTAGTCGTGCACAATGAAGTAGCCCCTGGATTTGGAGGTCCAGTTTGATTGGCTCTCATAGTGCCTCCCTCCACATAGGAGAATAAATGGATACCTGTGACATGTCAAAGAATGTAGCAGCATGCTAATGATCCCCATGGAATACATGGATCCTAGATGCAAAATTTAAGAACAAATTTCATACCCATTGAAGCATAGTTACTCTCTCTACAAAAGATGTATTTCACTTACTGGACAAGAACAGGAAGTTCATCATCTTTGTATTTACTGCTGTCCAACCCATTCCAGCCAAATGGATTTACACTGCCAAAAAGTTCATAGGCAATGGCTCCTGCTGCCCAAGCTGAAGAAAAAGGATGGACACAAAAACATTGCAGTGAAAACTGTACATATTTTGCTCAAGCAAACATTTTTTTTAGCAGCAAGTGTATACAGTTTCTGCAATAAAGGTGGACATGAATGCATCAAAGCAGTCACAAAGTGGAGCTAATTGCTGTGCACAATTTTATTTCATAGAGAAAAGTACCTTACACTAGTGAAAAGAACACCAAACTTACCATCCGATTTGGTAAAATCAAGGACAGAATCCTTCCCAGGAACAGCTTGTGCGATCTGAGAAAAATTAGTATTATACAATATTTAGAAAATTTACATGTATGGTAATGTATGGTAATGTATGAACTGCATCACAAGTCATTAGAACTGTTAAAAATACTGGAAATATATTGCTTAATGCAATGCATATCACTCAGTAAGTACATCTAAATTATTGATCAATGAAACATCTTATTCACTGCACAATACATTTACCTCAGGGGCCATCAGAGTGAAGTTACCTCCACGATCGATCTCTGCTGTGTGGAAAGGGAGTACAAGCTCCCTTGATCTGTCTGCTAGACAGCAACCAAAGTCTGCTATCACCAACTGGGGGCATGAACTATTGGCATCTTCACCCAGAAGCAAGTTGTCAGTTTTAAGGTCTCTGTGTGCCACTCCATGTCTTGTGAGATGCCTGATGCCTTCAAGGAGCTGCAGGAGAAGCAGTGAAGACACCCGCGGATCTGGCTTTGTATTTGATGCCAAATATTCTCTGACAGTTCTGTCATATCTTTCAAAAACAATACACAGTTATAATAATGGGCTTCAATGCTGGGGACGTTTCCTATCACAGTCAAAACACTCTTAGCTACTTTCCCTTGAATTACAGTTTGTGAACAGTTACAAACCTTGGCATGACTAGAAACATTGTTCGATTCCTTGCCAGTCCACCTCTACTACAAGGTAGCGCCGCTGGGTAGCTTGTAGAAGCATCTGGTAGGACAGGGGTATCATCAGTAAAGTGATGCAGGATTGGTGAGATGTTTGGATGGTCTGAAAGCCTGGTGTAGGATGAACCTGTCAAACGAAAGATTAATAATTACTTTTCACAGAATGCACAGCAGGGGTTGCAGAGTGCAAGTGACTCAACTCAAACATCTCTCCTTTTTACACCTCACCCAGGGCTTGATGCTAACTTTTCAACTTACGAGCCAAGTGGCTAGTGACATCTTAGATGTTTTTAGATGTTACAACAGTTTCAGTCTGTTTACTAGCCAAACTGGCCAGTGGAAATTGAAAACCACTAGCCATAACTGAATTTCTACAAGTCTGTGGCTAGTGGGCTACCGTTAGTGTCAAGCCCTGCTCACCACTTCCATTGTGCCATTTACTCTCTCACTCCTTTTCAACCCTTTTTACTCCCAAGATCTCAATAGTAATTCTCTTTACTATCTGCCATACAATTATTTTAACATTACTTGAGAGAATTTGATTTTGGATCAACTAGTAATCCACCAATGACTATTCATCTTTATTCTTATCAGTTGCCTGTTTGATTGCGTACCAATATTGCAAGGAGAAATTCTTCCTTAGTCACTTATGGGAGTTAAAGGGTAAATAACTAATCTCTGGGACTGGCTTTCCTCTCAATAAATTCCAATTAATTCTATTCTGATTGGTTTTTGCCATTACTTCATTCTGGTGTTATCAAAGTCTGCTCTGACAACTTGCTGTACAACAAAAATTAATGTACCTGCTTCAGAGGCATTCCACTCATTCTTCCCACTAAGAACCTGATACTCTTTTGAAAACTCCTGTTCAAAAGGGAAATATTCAATTTGATGATGCTTCATCATTTAGGAATGAAAGTTTACAGATATGTAAGTACTATGCGCCACCTTAGAATTATACAAAAGTAGACATGGAGGGCTTGTGAAAATACCCAGTTGTCAAGGGGATTTCACAGCTGAAAGAGAGTGCACAATCTTTGAATAGCTCCTGCTTCTCCTTACATGTTTTGGTGAAAATGTTCTCATTTTGTTTGTTTGAACTTCACTTATTTTCTTATTTGAAGAATCAAGATCATAATCATTCCATTTCAAAGATTAATCATTGTTTTTGATAAAAGCTTAGCTTCTCACAGTATTTTCTACTTTGTGCATGTGAAGCTATTTCAAATCAGGTGTATATTTCAACCCTATCAAGCAACCTAGGCATAAGATAAATGTTTGGGACAAAATGAGAGAGTCTGAATTGCAAAATTTTCCCAGGGAGCATGCCCCTGGACCCAAGAAGGGGTGCACCTGTTATGTGTCAAACTGGGCCTTCAGCCTGATGTGCCTGCCTGTTAAGTGCACATTTCCATAAAATGAAGGTAGCAATGAAAACTTACTCTTTCTAAAGAGCTACTATGAGAATCTGTTCCAAAGTTAAATAACATCTTGATGGCATACTGTTTCATGAAGACAAAATATATATTTATCAGCATTATAATTGTATAACAAATCACCTTTCAAAATGCCAGAAGTGTTGGAAAGCATGAGAGTTAAGAAACTGTTGAAAAGGATATAACCACTGGATTCCTGTAGTGTAACAGACAGTTACTGGCACTGAAAGTTGCCCACCATGTACAATGAGCGACTACTTGCTTAAAATTGTAAAATATTAGAAAAGTATAAGACTTAGTATAATTGTTTTGTAAGTGGTAACCTTCTGGTAAACCAAGTTGTTACTGTGGAATGGTGAGAAAACCTGTCAGACTGGTGTTCAATCTGGTTGGGGGGGGAGGGGGGCAAGGGGGAGTAGCAATATACTCTTAGTCCCTAGTGTTCCTGAAACCAGGATTTATAAACTGAATCGATTGTCATACTAATGCTGACAACAAATTTCACAAAAACCCTACCTCGTGGCCCATGTGTTCAGCTGAATACACTGCAGAGTTTGAAGAACTTTGGCCAAGTCGTTCACCAACTTTGAAGTCCTTTAGTTTAAGTTGTGCGAGGGAAGGTTCCTCAAAACCTTTCTGGAGCTGCAAAAGGAAAAAAAAAGTCATAGCACCAGGTAAACTTTCAGTCTGATAACACTTCACTCTAAAAATAAATTCTGCTAGGCTTTTGTAATGCTATCAGTCAGCAATAACAAGTTCTTACGGAAAAGATGCTTGGTGAATGATTACACTACAAATGTACCAGTAGCTATCATGATTATACAATGTCAGTCTATTTGTATACTTATTTGCACTGGTTATTTACTTTATCGTGAAACCTGAAACTTGTCTACATGTCAATCTAGAGCATTAGCAGTCTGTTATTTACAATATTCATAACAAACTACAGACAGTACACTGTACCTCTGTAAACATACTTCTTGTCAAAAGAACCCTTTGGGCTCTCTCATGCAGTTTTTTAAATGGTTCTTTTCCTTGTCCATCTTCACCTGTTGAAGACACAATTTCCAAAGAAACTGAGAAAAAAATTTCTAAAAAAAAAGCACATTATCAGGTAGTTCTAAATTATTTGGAATAAATAGACAGAAACCAAAATGGTTGTTACTGCACCCAACTAGCTTAATTCATATGTGACTGTGGAAGATTGTTATTAGGTAGTTCAAATGTTTGGAATAAATAACTTTTAGGGGTGAATAGTAAAGTAAGGAACTCTGGCTTAATCTGCCAACACCCTGTACTGAGCAAAAATTGAGGCTAATATTTATGAATCTATAAAAGAGAAACCCTCAATTTAGCAGAGTGGCTATAAATGAGTCATATTACAAAAATAATGAGCCTTATCCTCAAAGGAAGACTTTGTCCTCATTCTATCACATTACCTTGATAAAAAAAAGTATCACCACTTATTTTACAAAAATTTTGTTATGAAACGAACGTTCACATCTGTGATTAACAGTATATTGAAGATAACAGCTAAGTTTCAGGTTAGTGAAAATTTAAAAAGGAACCTACTTGAAACAGCAACTGTAAACCCAAGGAAGGCAAACACAGGAGATTTAGGTCCACAACCTCTGAGCAAGCGGGCTGTTGCCATTCCTAAACATACAACAAAAATTACAATTTTTGTCAATTTTCCATTTAGCAACCTCTTGCATTTTTCAATTGTCCTGCCCGAAAAAATCGACTGCCATGAAAGCAATTATTTTTTGACCAAGTATTGATTCACTTATAAAATGTAGTATATTTAAGGGAGTATAGTAAAAAGGATTATAACTATTGAAGGTTAGAGGAATATTTGACATATTTCTTCCTGCACAAGACCTTGATTAGATCAGATCTTATTTGGACTTGCATAACAAAGAAAGATAGAATGGATATTTGATAACAAGAATTGTAGAAAACCTTCTGTGTTGATAAAAAGCGAAAGTTAATTACACGCACGTACATTTACGTATTGTTTCCACTCACCAGCCGAGTACATTAACATTTGATCAACACTACGGATCAAAGATATGAACGTAGAAATCGCAAATAATGAAAGGGCTTCAAACTTACGCCTTAAAGAGGCAGCTTGGGAGACTGTTCCAACTCTGGCTGTAAAACCTTTCCACAGACCTCTTGCCAACACACCAACATTATTCTTTGGAGCATGGGGAAATGTAAGTGCTAACTGTCTGTTTGAGACACTGCGAGCTGCTGCGAATTCACCAGCACTGATATGGCCTGTTCTTGCTGCAACTTTTCCTAATCGTTTGAAACCATATATCACATCAACAAACTTACAGGAAATACGAAATTACGAAAAGGAAACGAAATGAAACCGAAAGGGTCGGAAACAACGTCATTAAAAACTAGGAAGAAACGACAGAATGGTTTACCAATACCTTGAATTTGCCTGAAAAGCGACCGCACCAAAACTCGAATAGCTGACATTGTAAACAACTTTCTACGGCGAATACATCTTCCTGTGTATCGCGTAAACTACATTTTGAAACTCACAAACCTAATATTGGTCTGTCAGCACAAACTGGATACAGCTCTCAAACTATAACAAGAAGGCTTGGCAACTAATTCGTTTAGCGTGGTTCCAAAGCCATGACTCCTCGTGCTCCAAATTCTCGCTTCATATCAAAATTATGACAATTTCCCTGTGAAAACCAACCATGTCAGACGACGAAGATTTGGCTCCAGTTGTGAAAAAACAAAGGATTCACTTTGGAAGCCTTGAATCTGTAGAAAGAGAACGATTGGCAGCTGGGTCGTCCAACGATAATGACGATGATAGAAACGATGATGACGATCAAGAAGCTGAGGGTGAAGATAACGAAGTGTCTGCGGCCGTCCTAGCTGGAATTAGAGCGGGAAATATAAATATCTCAGAAGGTTAGTGGGTGATTATGGCTAATTTACAGCTTATACATAATTAAGTCTAGCGTTGTTCTTATTCGAAAATATTACATGTACTTCCCTGGAAATATACTAATAATTCTCCTGCTTTGCTTAATTGTCGTCATGAGGACGTCTTTAGCGTTAAGGTGCTGTTATCTCAAGATCAGATGTTGTAGGCAGATTTTGACTTTTTCACAGATTCTTACAATATCACTCTATCTTGTATCAAGGGACACTTTTGATGTTCACTGCAGTTCAGTGCAATACGTGTAGCAACAATTAAACACAGAATCTTCCATATTAATGTCATTGCTTTAGCTGCTGTGGTCTCAAAAATGACAGAATCTTACGTTATCACTCTGTCTTGTATCAAGAGAGACTTGTGACAAAACTCTAGCATGTTCATTACAGTACATGTTGCACTGAATAAACACAGAAATTATCTTGTATATCAATATCTGTGGTTGCTTAATTATGGTAGAAACATTGTGTGCTGTTAGGAACTAGACACTTGCCTACCACTCAGCGCATGGCAATTATCACTGAGTGGTGTGGTTGTTTATGTGCAAGATCCTTCACTCTCATAGTGCTTTCTCACCTAGGAACAGAAAAAGGTGGTGCTAGTTTTTAAGACATATGTGACCTTCTTTGGGAAAATGTACACTAACAATATTCCATTAAACGTTAGAAAACTGACGGATAGCTAACAGATAGCTAACGGCTTTTCAGACGTTCTAACAGTTTGTCCTAACGCTCAAACGGTTTGTCTGAATGCTCAAACGGTTTGTCCGAACACTCAAATGATTTGTCCTAATGCTCTAATGGTTATTCCAAACATTCTAATGCTTTGTCCCTACATCTTAAAGGTTTGTCCTGTTGCACTAACAGTTGGTCCGCCTGTTTCATTTTGCTCCTCATGGTTCACCCAAATGGTGCAAGCGGTCGATCGAAAAAAGTATGGAGCAAGGAAGTGTAAAACAGTGTTGCAAAGTCTTTTTGAAAACAGCTAACTGGCTGAAGGCTTTTAATGCCGAAAGAGTCCGCTTTGATGATTGTGAAAATTACCAATGATCAGGCAAATCGAGTCTTCTTCAGACGGGCAAATCGACGTTCTGCAAAACAACTGCAATGGACATCCGCGCCGGTCTTCTTTTTGCAGTCCTTCTTCCTTTTCCTTAGAGCGCTGTATAATTCTAGAGACCGTACTTTTTGCAACAACAATGATTTCTGTGCTGAGAATTCTGAAAATTTCGATACGTGATCTGCCAGCATTTGCCAAACAGAGTATCCAGTGACTGCGAACGTATTCACCATACATGTTTCTACTTCGTTAAATCGGGGTATAATTTTATTTTATATTATGGATATATCAACAAAGTTGAAATGGTAAATTGGCCAC